ACAAGAAATTTTCAGAAAAAAAAATATTGGAATTATTCTTCTATTTTAGCCGAATTTCACACTTCATTCCAATTTTAAATAAATTCTGTTTTCCCAATGTTCAAAATCTGTTTCAGGTCGTTTATTGATACGGAAATGATCCACAGAAAGTGCAATTGAATTCGCGATATTTTCAAATTTCTTGTTTTCGGCATTTCGGAAAAAAGGTCCACCTTTGAATGAATATTATTGTGAAGTTGTGCACTTTGACATGAAGGTCGTGAAACGAGTGGTTTAATCACAAATCGAGAGAAAACTTAAAATAAACTGATTTAACCTGTTTTTCCCATTGTTAAGCATAATGTGGACACAGCTTGCACCAATCAATGCAATTCCCGAGTTAAGGTGTGAACCACGTCTTCAGCTATGTTTAAAAAATTACAATATTGCCCATATATCTTACTAGATGACAAAAAGTGGTAACTGCTTAACCTAAACGAAAAGAATTGATTTTTTTATTAAAAATTAATTTTTTTATAACGAACTATTTTTTTGGTAGCAAATTTCAGTTTTCATTTATTTGCCACAAATATAATTAATACTTAAAGATGACACAATTCATAACATTTAATTATTCATAATAACAATTAAGCTAACTCTGGCACCCTTTACAAAAATGTCAACTATAATGTCAAATTCATCAAAGAAAATCAGAAGCATCTTAGGTGTTGTCAAAAAAGGACACAAAATATACCAGTTTCCTTCTGAATATATTTTTTCTACTAAGCCTAAATATTGCAATACCTTGGAACGACAAACTAATTTGCTTGGTCCCTACTAGTTTGCTACAAACGTACTTGACTGTAGATCCGGTTAAAATATATATCAATATTCGATTTTAAACTGAAATGACTGTATTGGCTCCATTTACATTCTTATATTGGCTAAAGTTATCAATATTGGCTAAAGTTTTGAGGTTTAACCCTGTTTTGGATTTCTGATGGCTCCCATAATTTGCTATTTTATTTTCAATTAACAATGACATAGTCGTCATACAAAGGTCCCGAAATTTGAAATGCACAAAAACTTGTAAAAACATTTTTTATGCAGCGGTTCCTTTGTATTTTAAAAATCACAATTTTATATGGAAACGGACAAAATTTAAATTCTATTGTGTTCCCAGAAGGGGTAGACCGATTGGCCTCATTTTCGGACTTGATCATGATTTAGTAAAACTATTACGATTTTAAGATCGAGCGATTTCAAATTATTTGAAATGAAAAATTTATAAACGATTATATAATTCTAATCGTTTATTAATTTATTTTTATTTGACATTAAAAATTGGGTTAAAACCGATATAACTATATTAAAATAATCTCTCAGAAAATGTTGTGGCATTGTATCCTAAATCAATTTTGATATATTTATTTCAAATTTTGAAAGCACAAAACATATTTTAGAAAAATCCGCTATTGTGTCTAATACTGCGTTTAATATTTTATCTACGCCAACATCCACTTTGCTTTTCCTACATTACTGTTTTTCGTAAAATTTCCAATCAAAATTGTTCGTCCTTTCGGATATGTGTGCCTTTCAACAGCCACTGTTATCCCTATTCCATAGATGAGGATGACAGACATCATAATGTCACATTGTGTTTGGAATTTTGAATTCTCGGCTTACATGTGTTAGTTTTTGGAATTTATGGAAAAATATTTAACTGTGACAAACGCTCGTTGCCTTGGGGATGGAATTATTACACCAGCAGCAGCAGCGGCGATATGTTGGCACTTGAATTACATTACATCTCTCGCACACTCTTCACTCCCGAACTCACTCTGCTGTTGTTGTTGTTATTCACATATAAAATTAGTGCAATATAATCACACGTTTATTCACTTGATATGCATGCATGGATGTGCGAGGATATCCTTTACGCATGCATATGTAAATCACGGTGTATACAACTTCTTGTATGTGTGTTACATGAACTTGTGTGCTGCATATGTATGTGTTTCACTTTTTATTTGAATAATTGAAAACTTTGATATTTACACAGGTGTTGCATATATTTTTTGCATTTGTTTTCAAAAAATATAAAAGAATCATGTACCGTTGAATATTCTCTATATTTCGATCGATTGCCTGTATATCCCGCAAATAATTCACTACCGCTTTAGTTTACGACAAGAAGAAAACGTCTGGTAACGCGAAAATCTGAAAGTTAACTGAAAATGGTATCAAACTAATTTTTCCGTTTAATCATCGCCCAATAGGCCAGGCTGGCGGCCGTATTGACGGCGCTAATGAAACTACCAACTGGTTGTTGGAGGTGGTGGCACTGTTTGCGGGGTGCTGCATATTCGTAGAAATGAAAACAAAACAATAAGAAAACAAAAACCTTAAGCACTTTATGCTATAGCAAAAAAAAATAAATAATAAGCAACAAATAAACAAAATTAAACTGCATGAAAATAATAATTACTTAAAATACGAAAGCTAGACGAGATTGTCTTAAACTTGGGCAGATAGCTAATGTGCATTAAAGCACATTTGCGTTGCACCCATAGAGAGAACGAACCATCATTTGAAGAAATTGTGTTAGTACCACATTCAACAGGCCCCATCAATTGCCGTTCGCCACACATGGTTGAGTGTGTGTGTACTACATATTTTTGATACTAGACGGCCAGCCAGTCAGTTAGTCAATTAGTCAGACAGAGAGTCAGTTAGTCAGCTGCATACAAGCTCACAAAAACACCTTCTTCAGTTACGCCAAATTGCCGCAGGAGCTGAATTTAGAAACGACATTTAACTACTTACCCACATACCCACATGGCTAGATACGATTGTTCGCCAACCACTAGCCTATCCAAGCCAGCCAGAACAGGCAAAGTCAAAACCATTCACTTGCTGCCAGCAAAGTCGACAAACATGCGAATTTTGTTCGTACTCGGCGCAGAGGAGCAATTAAAGAAATTTAATTTTCAAAGTCAAAACCTTAATCAAAATTTGTAATTAAAAGAGCGAAAAACCGAGAGCCACCATTGCAAGCCTGGCCTGGCTATACTTCATTACGCTTGTAAATTGAAAAATACAAAAACACAAACAGAAACAGAAACAAGTATGTGCTGTTGTACAAAACAAACATGGGCAATGAAAATGATTTTCTAGATTATTGACCAACGATCTTGAACAATGAGAGCTATAAATGTATGAGCGTGTAAAAATACTTGTAGGTATAAGAATAAGGGTAACGATGTATGGACACAATAAACTTAACAAATCGGAAATATTTCAATCGTTATTATTATTTGGATCAGAGTTGGTATAAATACGTTTGAAAGGAAAACAATCCCTCCCAAAAGCAAAATGTCTAAATTAATAAAACCTTTAAAAATAAAAACAGATTACGGTCTACGATTGTAAAACGTAGCATGTGTATATGACATTGTACGGAAATTAAAGTCAATTGTTGGTCAATATGTTAAACTTCTTATATATGCCTTGTGTTAAATTTGTACGTACAAATTATTTGAAACACCAAAATTTGAAACACCAAAATTGTGAAAATGCACGACTGAAACTTTAATATAAGGGTATTGGTGATCCATTTACATAAAATCGGACAAACCCATATATATGGGAGCTACATATAAATCTCTACCGATTTCAACGAAACTTCGCACACATCAATTTAGACTTAATAGGTATGGTATTTAAAATTTTGCCTTAATCGGTCAAACATTGAGAGTTTAGTGTGCCATTAACATCAAATCGGGTAGCATATATCTTTATTTGAAGCCGAGATTTATGGGAGCTATATCTAAATCTGGACATAATTAAGTACGCTATGCACCATTTTGTCTCAATCGGATACATTTTGGGAGTTTGGTGTACCGTTTACATAAAATCGAACGAAACTATCTATGTCAGCTATACCTAAATCTGAACCGATTTCAACAAGGCTTCACAGACGTCAAACTGTACTTAATTTAGTACGCTGTGCAACATTTTGTCTCAATCTGACAAACCTTCGGAGTTTGATGCACCAATCTCCCAATATTTGTCTGATTGAGACAAAATTTTGCACAGCGCACTGAATTAGGTCCATATTTATTTATGCGAAGTTTTGCTGATATCGGTTTAGACTTAGATATAGCTTCTATATATAGTTTCGTCCGATTTTATGTGAATGATGCACCACACTCCCAATATTTGTCCGATTGAGACAACATTTTGCACAGCGAACTGAATTAGATCCATATTTATGTCAATATTTGTCCGATTGCGAAAAAATTTTTGCCCAGCGTATTTAGTTAAATCCGGTTTTATTGAATTAGATATAGCTTCATATATAGTTTCGTTCGATTTTATGTAAATGGTGCACCAAACAGCCATTATTTTTCCGAATGGGTTACAATTTTGTATTACGAATGCGATTGAGTCAAGGATGATGTGCATTAAGGTTTGTTGAAATCGGTTCATAGTTAGATATAGGTCTTATATATATATATATATATATATTCGTCCGATTTTATGTAAATGGTTACCGAAGAGCCTTAGAGTGATGTGTATTAAAGTTACAAAAATGTATGCAACGGTTGCTCAATTTCATACAAATGGTATACCAAAGACTCCAAGTCTGTCCGTTTTACATGCAAATTTTCATAATTTTGAAAATGGTTTGTGTATGAGATTTTTTTAATTGGTTCAAATATCTATGTAGATCGCACTAAATGTTCGCCCTATTTCGCCCTATTCCATCTAAATGGTCCTCCAAAGATGCTACGTCTGTTCTATTTACAGGATATAATACATATTAGCATCTCTTGTATGTACCCGAAGTGGTGAAGGGTATCATGTAGTCGGCCCCGACCGACTTTTGGAATTTCCTTACTGCTTATAATATGTAAAAATGTTTAAAAATGTGATTTACTTTATTTTACAATATAAACAAATATGTTTTTACGAAATAATTATTAAGATTTTATATCTGTTCTCTTCTATTCATCTAGGAGACGTATCCGTCGAATATATTCATGGCTTGCCACATCTTACCATACCACTTCCCAGCCGAAATGAGAAATGCCGTTTTGCCCTTAAACCTGTTTCACATCGTGTCGGTGATCTGATCGAGATGCTGAAAACCGAAGATCGCGGTATTGATCGTGCCACAATATTAAATCAATCGGGTGTTAGAATAGCATCGACGTGTAACATAGAAAGTCTAATGGATGAACCATTTTGGTGAGTAACAAATACGATAAGTGATAAGTAATTACGGTCTGCATTTGTCAGTAGTTTAGGTAATTGGAGATTTAACTACCGAACTATTCGAGATACAGCTAAATGAAGATATAGGTGGAAATGTATCATAATAAAGGCATTATGTTTGTTTTTTTTCTAGGATACACATCAATGATCAGAAATACAAAGTTGTACCACCAAAAAGGGAAAAAGTTCAGCTAGAAGATTTGAAAAAATTGGGAGATGTTAAAGCCTTAGTAGCCCAGGTAATATTACAACAATTTACACAGTACTTTAATTTTCACATCTTAATATGAATATTCCAAATTTATGTGTTTTCCAATAGCTATATGAAGCCTTACATGTGGGCGAATATCACATAGAAAAGGAACAGGAATTGAATACAAAACTAGAAGACTTAAAATATCAATTGGCTCCTTTGGAAAGGGTAAGGACAATGCCACAATGTTTGGATGAAGTTTTATTGAAATTATATTTTCTTTAATTTTAGCAAAAAAGTGAGCTAAGTGCCCAGGCTGAGAGAAAAACCAATATCATGACATGGGTTGGTTTGGGTCTGATGTCCGTGCAATTTGGCATTTTGGCTCGCCTTACGTGGTGGGAATACTCTTGGGATATTATGGAACCTGTTACATATTTTGTTACCTATGGTACGGCCATGGCCATGTATGCCTACTACTGTGTAACAAAAACGGTGAGCATAAACTTGTCTCCTCCACTCGAATGAATCTTACGAATAGTTGGTTTCTTGCAGGAATACAATATACCGGAAGTGAAAGACCGCCATTACCTCCTAACCCTGTATAAACGTGCCAAAAAGAGGAATTTCGATGTGGAAACCTACAACTCGCTCCGACGTCAAATAGCCGAAATTGAATACGATTTGCGTCGTTTGCGTGATCCTCTGAACTTGCAACTGCCACCTCATGTCGATCGTTCACAAGAGAAGCCACCACTAAATCCTGGCCAACATGCGGCTATCAACAGCACCACCCCCACTACTGACATTTCGAGTTCCAGTGTTGTAAAGAAATCCGGTTTTAAGATACCCTTTTTGGACTCGAAAAATTAAATGACCCGCCATTGAGGCACTTCAATCTACGAAACACTGAATGAAATGTATAAATTCACACACACACACACAGACACACAAGTTTGAAAGCATTTTCATTTTAATTTAACTGGTACTTTGTCTCCTGGTTCTTACCTCATTTGAAATGCTGTGCTTTTAAAACTGTACTACTTAAATTACCATTAGAATTGTTTTGTTTTTATTTACTTCGTTTGAAACTAACACCCCTAGTAAAGGACAAATGTAAAGAACCGCTATGTAAAGGAAGAGAGAGTTTGTTCCCAATCTCGATTTGATTTTTAATGTTCTATGTTGTAAATTATAGTTAACAAAAATGTTTAAAAACAAAAAATGGAAAATAATTACCACTCGCCACTCCCCATGATATATATTCTTTTTTTTTTTAAATCCGTTTCCTTTCTTTCTTTGTATTCCCATTTCAAGTTAAGTATTTATTTTGCTTAATTATTTCATTTGTTTATTTTTAAGTTAGACAATTTGTGCTTATATTTTTTTTATTTGTACTAAGATCGGACAATGTATGGAATTGTAGAATATTTTCGCTTAAATATTAATTCAATTCCATTGGCTAATTTGTATTTTTATTATTATTATTATTTTTTTTAATTGTATTTTGTGTTTTGTCAATATATATATTTTCTTTTTTGTAATTGTGAACTGTATACAAAATGTTTAATTTTTTATTTTAAGTTTATAGCGAGTTTAAACTTTATAAATATTAATAAAGAGTTTATTATTTTATGTCATCCTTTGCGTTTTGTATATTTTTATTTAATTTCAAGGTTGGAGGTTAATTACGAAAACATCGAAGTGCTTAACAGGGCCAGAAGTTCAGCTTTATTCTGAAAAAAACCTATATCTGAGCTATTGTAGCTATCACAGTCATAAATCAGAGGTATTTAATGTAAAATATCCCTACATATGGGGAAAATAAATAGCATCCAAAGTCAGAAATACCTACTTTAGAGAACCGTCATGATCGATGTATGTAATTACGAATGACTGAGATGTAACCTAACCTATTTTTTGTATATTGACATATTTAAAGGTTTGGGTTTGATTTTTGTCCAAAAATATTCTTAAGTGGTATTAATTTAATTTGTGGCTTTGTGTCCTTAAACGTGATAGAATAAATAACGTAATATGTTTTGTAAACCTTACTAGAAAACCAAGATTTGTATCAGAACCTAAAATGGACTTAACCACTTCAGAATAAACGACTTATTTGTCGCATAAAGACTAATGATTGAACTATCTGAAGCACTGTATGATAGGAGGCGATCCTGGGTCGTTGACCTTTGACGGCATAAATAGGCCAACTACTTTGTGCTATACACTTCAATTAAACCCACAACACTATTTTTTTAAAACATTTATTTCTCCTTTTGATTTGTCCAATTTTAAAATTTCACTTCGAAAAAATGTTATCACCTAAAAATTCCACTTAAAATTGTTTAGAACATTTTGTACATTTTGTAAATAAAAATCGCACCAATTAGAAATTAATGAACAGAAATTGTACAACAAAATGTTTTAGGATTAGAAATAAATATGACAAAAAATTACAGATAATTCCAAATGCAAAATCGAAAGCAAAAAAAAAAATACGAACAAGAAATATATGCTGATTAGTTAGATTATCATTTTAGAATAATTCAATTAGTTTAAAATAACATCAACCGAACAAAAAGCAACAACAATAATAAACAATACTTATAAGAAGAAGAACAACAACAAAAAAACAAAATACCAATAATAATTGTATTGAAAATGAAACTAATCGAATTGCTGCTATTTTGTATATAACAATATAATAAAATAAAAAAAAAAAACAAAAAAGTAAAACAACAAATTGCATAAATTACCCAACAACAACAATAATAATCGCAACAACAACAAGAACAACTAGAGTGTTTCATGACAACGTAAATCGAACAATTGAATAAAGAACGATAAATTAAACACAACAAACCAGGACAAACATAAATATTATACAACAAATATAGACGAACAACTGAACTATTCAAAAACATACACAAACATACATACATTTCTTTATTAATAATAATATCACATTCGAGTGTATTATCGAGAACAAAATAGATGCAGTAAAATCTCGCCAATCCGGACAATCCGATTATAGAGATTTTACTGTATAATCGCAGTCCTTTTTACGCATTTTGTTGTAAAATTTTACATAGATTTTTTAATAAATATGTATGTTTAATTTTAATTGAAATTTATTTATGAAACATGCGCTAAAATTGCTGAATAATTTCTTGGTTCGGAATCAGTCATTAACATTTTACGTAACATTAATAGTTTATTTAAAAATCATTATAGCTTTTTTATGCGCTCCGGAATAATAATTTGAAATAATATTCATCGGAAACCCCATCATGTATTGAGCAGAATAAACATTTATGCCAAATAAGTTTTGTCCTACTATTCACCAATTTTTGGTATAGTACTTTTACTAAATTACAAAATTTCCTGCCGAAATTTCTAATCAAAATTAATAATAATTAGCAGTACAAACTGACAATGGATAACAAAAACCATGGCAGTATAATCGGACGGGATCGATTCTCTTCGTTCTGATTGGTTTGTCAGAACATCACTCATCACAGGTCAGTGTCGGTGAGATGTAATGGGTGCTGGGAGTGACTGCACTTCAGGAATTGTTCCGGATTGGCTCGGTTGCTAGACTACATCGAAAGGGATTACATTGCCTCGTGCTGCTGCAGCGCAATCCCTAGGGAGTCTGGTCGGAGTATGGAAATCCACCGCAGTCTCCTCAACAGCAATCCAATGTTCAGCATTTAACACCACACATTGCTGTTTCTACTCTTGACAGTGCATCGTATCTGCAATGTATTTGCAACGGTCTTTAATGAAAAATTGACGACATAGCGAACGTCACGAATCGGTAGAATAAAGTGGTAGCGGCGGTACAGGAAACCAAGCCCAATGAAAATTTTAGCCTACAACTTTGTGATGGTTACAACGTTCCGAGGAAGGATCGCACCGGAAGTGGAGGTGGGGGCCTAACATTCCACACTGCTCAATACAGGCCTATTTTGCATGACCTAGACTCTATTGACCCATATGTATGGGGGTAGCAGTTTAATGTGGTATTGCCGGGGTAGAGGTGCTTAAGGTGTATATAATGTCGATTAATAGCTGTGAACATTCTGACAAGGATGCCAGTAAAGGTGAATCGTACCGACCGATTTCACTTTTGTCACCAGTAGCAAAGGCACTTGAGGCATTACTCCTTTCCAACATTAGGGAATGATATCCAGTTCCTATCCATCAGCATGGGTTACCTAAGCAACACTTCACAATAACAGCGTTGCACGCCATCTCAACACATATAAGTCAAGGACTTAACCAGAAACTGCAGTGTTCGTAACGCTTGACATTTCAAAAGCCTTTGATACAGTCAAACATGCCACACTGTTTGAGGACGTAGAGAAAACTTCCCTCCGGACAAGTTTGAAACGTTGGATAATTAATTATATGTGTGGACGCCAGTCGTACGTTCCGGAATAAGAAGTCCAAATATCGTAGAGTGAAGCAGGGTGGAGTGATATCTCCAGAACTGTTTATTTTACGACAGCATCGAGATCGTTTCAGATGATTGTGCGATCGTGGCGTCGGGTCCGATAGTTGAGGACATATATGTATGGCTGAACGTCTATCCCGCCTAGTTACAGCCTTCTTTCACTCGTGGGCTGCGGAGATGAGAATGTCATTGAATGTGTAGGTCGAGGGGAACACAATTCAGACCAACAACTACCCCAAAATACTCGGGGTCACATTAGACAGAATGTTGAACAAGGTCCTCAAGTCTCTTGCCGGCAGCATTTGGGGTGCAGATAAGCAAACCTTGTTGAGCTCATACAAAACGATAGGTCGGTCTGTGGCTCGCATAGCTAGCCAGTACCTGTATGGTCTGTGAATAATAGTGTTGCGCAATGGAGAAGTATTCAGACCAGAATGCCTCCTCATGACACCAGTGGACCATCTTCATGAGGAGACGAAGCTCCTTCCCTTTCGACCCTTCAATGTGGTTTCGTTGCAGTAACTGTTTCAGGGATAATCATCCTAACCATCATATGGTGGATAAAACTCCACCCAGGCGTGTCAGGAAGGATCTGCATGATAGAGAGAGAGGTCCAACGTTATAAAAGGGAGTCTCTAGATAAAGTTGCATATCCAGCAGGCCTGAATAAATAGCATGCACCCATCACCCATCGCAGCTGAAGAATGTGAGCAGCCCAGACAAATCAGAGTAGTTTTCGCCCAAATGCATTCAGGATGGTGCAGTCGCCACACTGAGGATCTGGTTTCAGTGCCTGGGCAATATTTCTAGTGTGATAATGAGTATTACCATTACAATACTAATATAGTACGACCTATTATCGCAATAAAATTCGTATTAAAGTAAACAGTTCGATTTATTACACTGGCAACATTTCCGGATTATGTTTTCCTCGAGAGAACAGTTACGTCTTAAAATTCACATTTTGGCACTTTTCACACAACAGTCTCATTTCACCCGCTAAATATTAACTGACCAGATCCTCGTCCTCATATAGAAATACTAATGTTCGGCTTATAATTGTGGCCTCTACAGCGACTAGAAAAATATGACATTGACTGTATTCTTGTTATAAAATAATTTCAATAAGTTTATTTAAAATCGTTTACAACAAAAGCGTAAAAATACACTCAAATCTAATGTGAATGAAAGTGTGTATATGAATAAATATGGTTGTGTTATAATTTCTACCAAAACTAAAAACAAAAAACTAAATCACAAACTGGCTAAATCAACAACTGACCACTAAACATTTATGCTGTACACACCAGAGTTGTTATCAAGAAATCCAGATACAAAAAAAAACTACAAAAAAACTAGCGTAATACTAAACTAGCATAAGTCATAACTTGTAAAATCCTCCCCTTTCTCAGATGCTTAAAAATTATCTCAAACTAAAATTGCTTTTTAGGAAATTTTCAATGCTATATATAACCAGAAATTAACAATTTACAATCTATATATCAAAATTTATATATACATACCTATTATTAATTAATTGTGATTATGAAAATGAGCGATGTTCAAAGGAAAGTTGGGCTGTTTGGGAAACAAGCAAAAATAAAATATTTGAATGGAATTCAAAGTTTATTTAGATTTTTTTGTTTCAGCCCAACGTGAGAACATCAACTATTTCTACAAATCAATATCTGCCTTTTTCGGTTAGTCTATCTACACTTACTTACCTATGACATATTTACGAATTGACGATTGTAATCGTACAACATAATTATATACAAACATACTGCAACTGCACCAAAGATTAAAAAACCAAACAAAAACAAAAAAAACATAAATCACTACTATTTACACTTGCTCAACTATTTTTATTCGAAATGAAAACAAAAACTAACTAACAAACAACAACAACAAAAGGAATTCAAAACAAAACTAATATAAATTACTTTTTATTACCAATTCCCTAATGAAAATATATATATTTTTTAATTTTAATCCAAACTAATACACTACTTCCTTTATTATTGTACAAAATCTATAAAAAAGATATAAAATCCAAGAATTTCTCTTTTAGACTCCAATCCTCCAAACTACAGTATTTTTTGCCAAAATCTCAAAAATTCTCATACTCTATATAATTATATATAGAAGAAAACACTACAATTTCACCTAGTATAAACATAATAAAAAAATTCTGTTTTTTTCTATGCAATCATTTCCTCCGCATTTTAAATCTCCAACAACTAAATAATGTCTTTTATTAACGTAGAAATTTATTTAAATTCATTGTTCTGATTGAATTTTTATTTTGATAATTTACATTAATTTATGCGACAAAGAATTTCAAATCAGTATTTATAAAGGCGAGAAAAACATTTTTTCAATAACATGACGTTGTTCCTATATACGGATTATCTTATAACTTTGGTCTTCATATAATCCTTGTAATCAATTATTCTAGTTGGCTTATAGCAGAACGGTTTAAGCCGAGCTTAAAAAAATTTCCAGCAGGGTGCGCAAAAATTCGCTCGCGAATGATTCAAAATACATTCTTCTCGTTTTGTGCTCATTTTAAGAATGAATTTATGGCGATAAATTCTATACCAAACGAACATTCGCCAAAGAATGGTCGCACACACATAACAAACGAGTGAGAGCACTCAACAACGTTCGTTCGTTTCGTTTGGTGGTTGAAATTCTCACGAATGAAAACAAACATTCCCGAATTCTCGCGAGTGCTCAAAACGGCAACAACAATAACAACAAACGTTCGTGAACTCAATAGTTGTTGGATATGTGTTTTGTTATTCCACACACTTTCTGCTACACACTCTTTCGTTGTTTGTGTGTGTTTTTATGATATTTTTGTTTGTCGTTGCTTTTAACAGTACTCGCGTTTTTTTTTAATTTTTCAAAAGAATGTTCTTCAGCAACAAATGCTCGCGAAAGAATGAATCGACGACGCTTGCAGCGAAATTTTATCGTTCGTGAATTTTTTGTACAATGCGAACATTAGGGAGAGAATGCAAATGCTTGTGCATTCATTGTAAACATTCGAATTCTCGCCCGTGATCATTCGTGAGAAAGAGCGTATTTTAATCATTCTTCGCACCCTAATTTCCAGGCGCGTCGGTCTTGTGCGCATCTCATACAATTTGAAAGACCATTTTCCGAGATTTTGTCTCCTACTTGATCTTTTCGCAGAGTGAAAATCTGGCCAATGGTGGATTTGCCAGGACTGAAGCCACATTGGTATTGGCCAATGATGTCATTGACCATTGGCTTCAGACGTTCTCACAGCACGCTGGATAGCACTTTATATGCGATGGGAAGGTGTTGGGGGCGATGGGAGTTATTTCTCAATAGTTGGCACATATCTTATTATCTCCTTTTATGCACACGGGACATAGGATGCTGAAGTTCCAATCAGTGGGCATACATTCCTTTAGCTGGTGCATACTCCTGACCAGCATCTGACCACCGGTCTTAAATAGTTCGGCTGGTAATCCATCGGCATCTGCTGCTTTATTGTTCTTTAGCCGATTTATTGCTACCCTGACCTAATCTTGGCTAGAAGGTATACACTCTATACCGTCATCTCTGATTGGTTCTGAGGTATCTTCTTTACCGCCACTATTTGATACCAGAAGCTTTTTCTCCCGATAATTCTCCATTGCATTACGTATTGCTACTGTCTGAAGGGTTACCCTATACGCTACATTTTTCACATTAGTAGCATTACGACATTCCTGATCGTACCATCTGTTTCTTGATGGTGGTTTTTTGGTACCCAAGTGTTGCTTTTGTTGCAGTTTGTAGGGAGTGGGCAATTCTTTGCCATTGTGCTTCTATACTATTATAGGGGCAAGAAGTGCTTTCGTCAAGCAGGTGGGTAAGTTTGCAGCTTTTCTACTTCGAGTTTCCGTGTTACATTATATCGCAACTATAATACAGGGCGTACATCCGCTATGGCGAAAACTGCGCCTTTTCTGTAAAACGTGCGCACATTCCAAGCGCAGATTAGCAGATCGTGTTCTCACGGTGTCCACAATTGTGATGAAAGAGGGCCCAAGATAAGCCTGGGCTTCGCCATGTTAAAGCCAAACAGAGCCGTGGCTTGGTATCTATCATCGCCTACGCACCATAAATACCATCCCTTGGCATTTTTAGAAAACTGCAAAAAATAGTTCACGATTTTTTTTTTAATTTGTCATTTCATTTGCAACACCGCGAAATATTCATCGGAGATCCTACAGAATAAACTTCTATGTCGATTTATGCCTATCCGTCTGTCTGTGGAAATTACGGTAGAGATCGCAATATTTAAGATTGAGCTCTGAAAATTTGCACAGACATTACTAGTACTCCAATAATGTTTTGTAAATGGGATATGTCGGTCCAGGTTTTGGTGTATTCCGCATATGACGGTACCCACAAAAATTTTTATTAGGGTCACGTTTTCAATTTGGTATTTAGGTTTTAACTGTATAACACATCTCCGTACGAAAAACTATTAATATTGACCCCCATATAACGGTACCCCCACATCTCTGTACTAAAAATTATTATTATTGACCAAAGGCCTATTTTGGAAATTTTCGACACGTTTTTCAACCGAAATGGCTGTGATTTGGTATTTTGTTTTCTCATTGGCTGTCAAATTTCACTATTGTCAATATCGATCCGGTTTTTATATAGCCCCATATAACGGTAATCCCACTACTCACGTATTTTTCTGTATGTTCAAGGTCTTATCATAACACTAGAAGCTCCTATTATTTTAGATATTTTGAATGTTCGAATGTGGAGGGTAAAAAAAATCGGCCACGTCGGCGCTGATTAAGGGGCTATAACCACTTAAGGTATTTTGTAAAAATTGTCTATTTGACAGATAATCATTTAACAAAGATGTCCAATAGAGGTCCAACAACAATGTCCAAAGTAGGTTGATTCTTAATATTGGCCGTCTTGGTAGTCTTTGTAGACGTGCTAAAGGCCAGGAATTTTCTGTCGATGAGCTGAATCCCTGGATATCTTCATATCGACCCTGAATCCTGTATAGTTATTCTAAAAGCTAGTAAATCATTTTGGCAGCATTTGAATATGCAACTACGTGTAAATGCATATATATATATTTTTTTTTTGACCAATAACAATTTAATTTTATATTAAAATATTCCAAATTTAAGTATTTCCAGCTTTTTTAAATACTGATTTTATTTCATATATTTATTTATTATTTTCTAAATTCTCATAAAAATGTTCTCCACACCCAAACAAAAATCGACAAAAAAATCCAAAAAAACTTAAAAAATGGTCTACGTAAAACCTGCCCCATTTCATTGTTAACTTATTAAGTGCTTTAATAACCCTTTAAATATTATGTTTAATAAATATTAATAACAAAAAATTAAGTACTAAAAATTGTTTTTTATACCAATCTATATAAATATACCTATATATAAATACTTTGTATGAACTAATTAATCTAATTAAACATAATTATAGAAAACAAATGTCTAGATTTAGTAACTCGAATTATTAGAAAAAAAAAAATAAAAAAACAACTTACACTAATTATTAACAAATCTATTGTGAATCATCAACAAGTTGATGCCAAAAACGAAAACATTATCAACATTTCACAAATTTTTTATGGATTTGTTTTTGAGGCCAAATGTGAAAATTAAAAAGTTTTCTCACCGATTCTTGCTGATGATCATTCCACAAAATATGTTTGGCAATCCAAATTTGCAATCATTCACCCACACAGACACAAACAGACACACTCTACCCAAAATTCGAAAATTCCATTTCATATTTGTTGTTAAATATAATGAATATTATTTTTTGTTATAAATTGTTCCTTAATTTATTTACTTTTAAAGTAATAACGAATAAAGAATAAATGAATAATTTCGTAATAAAATTATGTGTGGTTATTTTTATTATTCCTAAATTTTGAAATTACTTAAAAGATTTGGGTTTGTTTGGTATAAACATCCGTAAGGATATTGGGGAGGAAGAGATTATTGAGAACTGAAAAGTGATGCTATATGATCTCCCAATATATAATGACAACCAGTACTTTTAACTTCCACTGACGCCTATTGTTAGTTCCAAATTGAAAATAAAAAAATGTCTAACATCATTTTCAAAAAAACATATTTCTACTTTATTTGAGTGTAAAAAAAATCATAAGACTTGTCTAAACTAAAATTTAAATAATTTAAAATTAAACATTATTTACAGAGGGAAAATCTTATTAACATTTAACTTCTAATCTTAAACACTGCTCGGAATCTGTTGAATTCCAACGTTCCAACCGGGCAATCGGTCGACTTGGTTTCATAAATAGAATTAGGTCATCATTCAGCATTAATGGTGACATTTTATTCGCTATAACCGCCTTTGTTGGTGGCCTATACATATCTGCTATACTGTCATTGCTGAACGAACGTCCGCGTTGATCGGGCGCCTCCAGTATATCGACAACTTCGTTGAGGCTGTCATCGATCAGACGATAACTAGGCTGCTGGTATGGATTGTAGCCCAATTTTGTGCATATCTGTCGAACCTCCTGTACATTTGGAGGATTTGATTTGGGGAAACATTTTGTATGCCAGACACCATAACTTTGTTCAATCACCTGGCCGTATGAGGTAGGCTGGACATTATCACTATGGACATAAATTGGAGGAAAACTTAGTTTACATTAGTTAAATGTGTGCGGGTGTGTGTGCGAAACTTACCCTTGCTTTTGCATTTGTTGTTTTGTCATTGTGGGCTGTTCCAAACCATAACAGTAACGTTCATCTTCGCCGTTTGGACAATCTGGTTCTTTATCACAAACAAATTCTCGGGGAATGCACTCCTCACCCAATCTAGAAATAAAAAATAAAATTATTCTAAGGCTATAATTTAATTTACTGCAGGGGCTCATCAAATACATAAATTTTACAGCCATTATCTGTGGATAAACCTTCGACCAAGAATCGAACCATACTTTCGAGACGGAATACATGTGAGAACTTCATATTATGCTGCATAATATAATAAAGAAATTCGAAGAGGTCCTGGCAGGTTATATGATCTTATTATACATGATAGGTTCTGGATTATTAATTCCGCAAACTAGAAAATATCGAAATTTTGAAAATGTTTTGAGAAAATCACAGTTCAGTTCAAATTCATCACGAAACTTTTATTGCAGTTGAATCTAATTTTAATGAAACTAAACTTTCGTTATTTGAGACATTCGTGTCAATCCAACAAATATGGGAACATTGGCGCACCATTTTCATAAAATCGGACGATATGAATGGAAGCTATTCCTAAATTTGAACCGAACTTAGAATTCTTTATTGTATACTCAATTCGGTTCCCAGTGTAAAAATACAAGCTAATCAAATAAATACACGGAGTTTGTTGCCCCACTTCATAATCTCCCGTCCCATACATACCCTCACGTCTTCGGAATTACACCCAGGTTTTATTATTCGCTTTATATGAGGCATATGTTTTTATCATAGAGGTTTCGGATTTAATGTTGGTCAAATCGGTTACTCAATTCGCTTCAAATAAAATTTATAAGTTTGTAAAAATTCGGACATTCTATTCGACTGATATTGGAGTAGACCAATGGGTTCCATCTTCGAACTTCACCTAGGCTTGGTAAGGTCAAATCGGACATTCCATTCGCCTGATATTGAATTTATAAATATTTAAAATTTGACCATTTGTGGAACAGGTACCAGAAGTAGTGGTCCATATTCGGACTTGATCTAGTATTGGTAGAGATATTAGGTTGTATAAAGTTTGTTTCAAAACGGATAGTCCATTCGCATGATATTATACAATTAATTTTTAGCATAAGTTTGGCCGTTTTGTGGGGGAGGTACTAGAAGGAATGGACGGATATTCCCCATCTTCGAACTTAAACTAAGTTTGGAAGAAATATTACGATGTGCAAAGTTTGGATGAAATCGGTTAATCCCTTCGGGAGTTATCGGGCGCAACAGCCGGCCAGACAGACACTTAAAAATTGTCTGAAACGGATTTAGCCCAATGAAACGTGGGGTCTAAAACCAATATTTCGATGAGGCACATTTTTACCGTATGAATGTGTATATAGCCTCATTATTAATAGGATTTACATATAAATTTGAACCGATTAGTAGTTATACCCAAAAATGACCCGATTTCAACAAAACTTTACACACGTTATTTTATGTTTATTTCTCGAGGCTGTCCAAATTTCGTGTCAATCATGAAAACGGTGGGAAGTTTTGAAATTTATACTCACGGTCCACATGGATAGCGATTGGCGGTACAGTTACATAAAACAGGACTTTCATCACTTTTATCCCAGCAATTTCTTATCCCATCGCATATTTTTGAGGGATCAGTTGCTCTGAAAAAAAAAAATAACAAAAGAACGTACAGTCTATCAGACTTTTTATATTAATAATATTTTTCCTGAATAATAAATATTAGCGCCTCTATACATTCTACGTTATAAAGTCGAATTAATATTCGTATTAATTAAAACTCATTATTATCCTTTTTCCATTTTAGGGAGTTAATCGATGTGTGCCCTGAACGGCTCATATATTACATCTTACATCTTATCTGATCTTACCTCAAATATGTAAAGCACGAACATACTGTCGGTTCGTCGGTTAAATCTTCACAATCGGCAACGTGATCACAGAATTTCGATTTCGGTACACATTTATTGGAGGTACGGCATTTCATTTCTGATGGACTACAAGCTACAAATTATAACATGAATTAGTAGCTACTTATTAGTAACTTATAAACAAACTTGCCATTTTTGTAAAGTCGACACTTTTCAGGTCGCTCATCACTACCATCATGACATTCCGATATACCATTACAGATTTGTGTAGTATTTAAGCATAACCCCAACGGGCATCTCAGTGTCGAACAGAAGGGTGCCTCAAATGGGAATTTACACTGTGCATTATCTAGTTGTGTTAAAAAAATAAAATTAAATTTGCTGACATTTTCATAACGCCACACCGCACCACACCACACACTTACCCATCACATCCTGTATACCTTGATAGGCCTCCTCCAGATTTCTTACCGCAAAATACTGCTTAAAACTACTACAATTCGTGTTGTTATATGAGAAAAGAGCATTGGGATACCAACCTGTATTGTTGTTGCGACAAACGGCAATACCCTGTTCGATGGGTTCCAAGCCATCTGCTTTCGTACTCTTACCGCCGAACTGGGTACAATTGCTGGCAGTGGATATTATTTCATTGTGGTCAGTTTCTTCTGAACTTTTCTCCTCAGCGGAATTATCAATTAAATTGTCGGAATCTCTTTGAAGTTTAACGGTTGATTTATTCTCATTAAAACGATAACAATTCATGCCTTTAGTGTTGCATATCTCCGTATTTTTTTGTTCTTCCAAACAAACCGCCTTTGCTCGTCCATTTTCGTTATCGTGAAGAATCGCTATGCATTCGTGTTTGTCATCCAAAATTGAGCTATAATAAATATAAATATTATATTTTGAGAGCTACGTTTCTTGAATTCCAAAGTATTTGAAACTGATTTAGAAATCGATTTTTGTACGTTAAACTGAAAGGATTATAACTGAAAGGATGATAAATATTTTAGAAGAATCTGACAGTCTGTTTCACAAACATCGGTGACATTCAAAGCATGAGGAAGTTTATAAAAGAAAATGCATTTACGACCAAATATGTTTCGGATTTACAAGTTTATAAAATATTGACCGATTGTAGGGAGGTATCGGACGGGTGCCACATTCGGACTTGATCTAGGCTTGATAAAGGTAATAGGTTGTACAAAGTTTGGTACAAATCAGACCTTCCATTCGGTTGATATTGATATTGGATTTATAAATATTGAAAATGTTGTCCATTTATGGGGGAGATACAAAAAGAAGTGGACCAATGAGTTCCATTTTCGGGTTGATCTAGGCTTGGTGTAGATAATAGGTTAAGCAAAGTTTGGTTCAAATCGGACTCTCCGTTCGCATAATATTATGAAAATAATTTTTAGCAACATTTTGCCCATTTTGTGACCAGCTACCAGAAGAAGTACACCGATATTTCTCATCTTCAAAATTGAACTAAGTTTGGAAGAAATATTATGATGTACAACGTTTGGATGAAATCGGTTGCTCCCTTCGAGAGTTATCGAGCGCACCAGCCACACAGATGGACGGACATTTGTAAATCAACTCAAAATTTTCTGAAACGGATTTGGTCCAAAGGCAATAACAATACCCTCATTAGCAAAAGGTTGAGGATATCGTTTTCTCATCTCTGAGGAACATATTCACATCAAATACATACCCATCTGGTACAAATGTCGGCAAAATAAAGTGTGAAAATCTGACCGGCTTCTCAAGATGCATCATTAAAATGTCACTATTCGGAATGACTTCCATGCAATCGATGCGGCGTATTTCCTCGTGAGTGCTTTTATGAGCTCTACTCTTAGTTTTGCCACCGCCAAACAAAGCAGCGACATAATCCAAATTTAATCTGCAAAAGACAAAGAACGGTAAACATCACCCATTTCATACATCCACAAAACTCACACCATACCTTATGCCATAGTTACAGGACTCATGTACCATTATCCAATGTTTATCCATCAAAACGCCCAAGCACCATAATCTACCATTGGCATAAACGTCAACCAGCCATGGCCAATGGATTTCCTCAATTATCTCGTGTAGCTCGTGATCGATTAGTATTGTCATATTTTTCTTTGGATCAATTACGTTCTCTAATACCTCCTCGCCTAGTGGTTCCTTTTCCACATTCGCTTCAGGCTTAACAAAAACATTGGGTCTATTGTGAGTCTCAATTGATGGTTGCAGCTGTTCGGGTTTCTTTTCTTCAATGGGTTTTGGTTCTCCTGCACTTACTACTGTTATGGGTTCCGCTTTATTGGACTTGGCAACACACTCCACATACAGACCCAAGCAAACCTCCTTCGATTGTTCAATGCGAATTGTTCGCAAATTCTTAAAAGTGGGGAAAATACTTTGCACAGCCGTAAAATATTCACTATCACCGACCGTGTTTTGTATTTCATCACTGAGGCGAGGTTTCATAAGCAAATCGGGGCTTATAGGGATAATGTGATCGTAAATTGTCGGTTTTGTGGTATTGTAAAAACTATAACCCTTGAAACCGAGCAGAGAACACACTTCATCCGCCGTCTTGGCATTGTGATCGCCGTATGATGTCTCATGGGTGCAGACAATTCGCCAAATGCCATTGTTGTTGCGGGAAAAAATGCCAGCACTATTTAGTATCGGTTGTCGATGACTATCCAAAACGACTTCCTTGCCATTGGTGAGGGCAACTGCAAGAAAAAAATTATCAAAAGCAGATTTTATATAAGACACTGTTGGAAATGCTTACAGCAATCCTTTTCATCTTCGTTGAAACGGCAATCAATGATGTTGTCACAACGTTTTGTTAATGGAATGCATGTCCTTGTTAGGGGACATAAAAACTCATCAGATGTACAATTACCTAGGAATATTCAAAAGAAATTTATCTCTCTCGGAATGTAAAGAATTTCTTTTATCTTACCACAATCATCTTCATCGGTCAAATCCTCACAATCCGACTTACCATCACATATTAGAATACTTAATTTTCCCTGCAAAGAATAGTAAATGGTTTAATAAACAAAAATAATATATAACAGATATATAATATCTGTTATATAATATGGAGCCTATAATATTAAGTATGGAGCATGGATCTATGTTCTACGAAAATGTTTTCTTACTCACCCAGAACCCGTAATGACATATTACAGACTCTTTGGGTAACATTAAAGTATAGTTTACTAGCAAAGTACCCGCTACTTCGTATGCGGAAAGGGAATAAAAAAATATTTCTTATGAAAATCGTGAATACCGTATAATTAGTTGTACTATAGTTCTGAATTCCACCTCTATTCCTACATTTAATATCAAGTTTATTATCATTAAGTACTCTTCATACACATAAGCACTAATTTCCGAAATCCACACTTTAGGAAAAACGTACAGGTTCCACATGTAATTCCATTTAGAACTTTTCGAACACATAATTTTACATTTTCAAGACTACCTCTATACCGTCACCTCCAATACCAAAAACCCTTTGGTCCTTCTTTCTAACTCTCTGTCAATGACCAACATTCTAAATTTTAGGTTTCCAGCTCTCTCCGTTACCCAAATTCAAATTATTCCAAATTTAGTGAATTTTCTTCCACCATAGTCCATATTGTTCCAAATTTAGTGGTTTTCGTACTCATAAGTACAAATTTCCAAATGTACCTCAATCCTTCTTTCAGATAGTCCAAATTTAAGAATTTCAGCTCTGAGTGAAACCATTCCGCACTTTTCGTACCCATAACCAAACCAATCTCAATATTCCAAACCTGCTTTCAATCGTAAGTCCAAATTTAAGAATTTCAGCTCTATCTGTTCACTAAACTGTACCATATTTGGTACCATTCTACTTTTCCTACACTCCCAGAGTAACCTAAGTTGCAACATTCAGGATTCGAGTTCTACCCGTTCACCAAAGTCCAAATTGTACCAAATTTTTTGGTTGTCGTACCCAAAGTACAAATTTCCAAAAATACCTCAGTCATGCACTCCAATAACAACCTTAGGTCCACATTTAAAGATTCCATCTCTATTCGTTCACCAACATCCAAATTGTGCCATTTATTATTTTTCGTAGACGTAAGTATGAGTTTCTAAAACTGCCTCAATTTCCCACTGAAACAGTAATTTTATTCATTAATTTCAGGATAACAGCACTATCTCTTCACATAGATCCAAATTGTACCATATTTAGTACTTTTCGTACTCATGAGTTCGAATTTCCAACACTGTCTCAATCCTTTGCTATAAGAGTAATTTTATTTTCAAATCCATCCATCTCTATCCTTTCACTCAAATCTAAATTGTACTAAACTTAGCACCATTTAGTACAGATAATTACGTATTTTTAAAACTACCTCATCCTACACTCCAACCTTATTTTTAAGTCCAAATATTAGGATTCCCGCCCACACAAAAAGAATTGTACCATATTTAGTACCAATTAGGTCTTCTCGTATCCATAAGTACGAAATTCCAATACTTCCTTAATCTTGTAATTTTAATTCCAAATTTACGTTTACTATCTCTATCCGTTAACTCGAATCAAACTTGTACAAATTTTTTTTACCATTTAGTACACATAATGACGAATTTTAAAAAATTACCGACATATCTCAATTCTGCACTCAAACTGTAATATTAATTCAAAATTTCAGAATACAGCCCTATCCGTTCACACATTTGTAAGCTTTTCGGTACCATTTAGTACTTTTTGTTTCTATAATTAAACATTTCCTAAACTATGTCAATCCTACACTCCAACAGTAATTTTAATTAAAAAATTCGGGAGTCCAGCACTATCCGTTCACACGTAATCAAGTTGTACCAAATATAGTACTATTTAGTAGTAGGTAGGTGACATGCTTCCATATCTCAATTCTATATTCAAACATCAACCATTAGTCCAAATTATTGGTTTCCAGCTCTCTCCGTTCACCCAAATCCATCTAGTGCCGTTTAGTACTTTTCGTACACATAAATACGAGTTTCCAAAGATGTCTCTATAGCTCAATCTACAACAGAAATCTTAATTCCAAATTTCAGGTTTTCAGTTCTATCCTTTCAATCAACATCCAAATTGTACTAAATTTAGTACCATATATACCTTTCGTACCAAAAAGTACGAATTTCATAATCTACCTCAGTCCTACACTCCAACAGTCATTTTAATTCCCAATTTGAAGACTTCAGCTCTATCTGTTCACCTAAATCCAACTTCCACCAAATTTAGTACCAATTAAGTACTTTTCATACAAATAAGTACGATTTTTTTAAAGCTAATTCCGATTATAAAGATTCCATCTCTACACACTCAACTGAAGGTAAATAGTACGGAATTTAGTACCATTTTACACTTTTTATACACATAAGTACGAATGTCTTAAACCATTTCCGTACATCAACACCACTTCCCAACATGTATTCCATTTAAAATGTCAAGATTTCAGCTATATATGTTCAATATATATACAATAGGAACTAAATTCAGTAAAGTTTAGTACCTTTAGTACACTTATATGTCGAATTTCCAAAAACCCTTTTGCACATCTTTCTAACTTTCCATCAGTGACCAACATTCCAAATTTCAGAATTTTAGCTCTTTCCGAATTTCCAAAACCTCCAACTTATTTCCAAAACCTCCAACTTACCCTAACCCTACAACCCCACAGTGACCCTAAATCCAAGTTTCATGATTACAACTCTATCGGTTCACTCACAATTCAAATTGTACCAAATTTAGTACACAGTAGTATGAATTTCCAAAACCTCCAACTTACCCTAACCCTACAACCCCACAGTGACCCTAAATCCAAGTTTCATGATTACAACTCTACACAATTCAAATTGTACCAAATTTAGTACACAGTAGTACGAATTTCCAAAACCTCCAACTTACCCTAACCCTACAACCCCCACAGTGACCCTAAATCCAAGTTTCAGGATTACAAATCTATCGGTTCACTCACAATTCAATTTGTACCAAATTTAGTACACTGTAGTACGAATTTCCAAAACTTCCTACAGACCCCAATCCTACACCCCCACAGTGATCCTATATCCAAGTTTCAGGATTCCAACTCTATCGGTTCACCCTCAATTCAAATTGTACAAAATTTAGTACATAGTAGTACCAATTTCCAAAACTTCCTAAATATCCCAATCCTACACCCCCACAGTGATCCTAAATCCAAGTTTCCGAATTCCAACGCTATCGGTTCACTCACAATCCAAATTGTACCAAATTTAGTACACAGTAGTATGAATTTCCAAAACCTCCAACTTACCCTAACCCTACAACCCCACAGTGACCCTAAATCCAAGTTTTAGGATTACAACTCTATCGGTTCACTCACAATTCAAATTGTACCAAATTTAGTACACAGTAGTACGAATTTCCAAAACCTCCAACTTACCCTAACCCTACAACCCCACAGTGACCCTAAATCCAAGTTTCAGGATAACAACTCTATCGGTTCACTCACAATTCAATTTGTACCAAATTTAGTACACTGTAGTACGAATTTCCAAAACTTCCTACAGACCCCAATCCTACACCCCCACAGCGATCCTAAATCCGAGTTTCAGGATTCCAACTCTATCGGTTCATCCACAATTCAATTTGTACCAAATTTAGTACGAATGTAGTACGAATTTCCAAAACTTCCTACATACCCCAATCCTACACCGCCACAGTGATCCTAACTCAAAGTTTCAGGATTCCAGCTCTATCGGTTCACCCACAATTCAAATTGTACCAAATTTAGTACATAGTAGTACCAACTTCCAAAACTTCCTAAATATCCCAATCCTACACCCCCACAGTGATCCTAAATCCAAGTTTCAGGATTCCAACTCTATCGGTTCAACTACAGTTCAAATTGTACGATATTAAGTACACAGTAGTACTAATTTCGAAAACTTCTTACTTACCCCAAACAGAGATGCTAAATACAACTTTCAGGATTACAACTCTTTCGGTTCACTCACAATTCAAATTGTACCAAATTTAGTACACAGTAGTACGAATTTCCAAAACGTCCCACTTAACCCAAAATTTCACCCCAGAGTGATCCTAAATCCATGATTAAAGATTCCAACTCTATCGGTTCACCCACAATTCAAATTGTACAAAATTTAGTACACATTAGTAAACAATTTTAAAACTTCCTACATGTCTCGATCTTACACCCCAACAGTGATCCTGACTCCAAATTTCATGATTCTAGCTCTATTGCTTCGCATAAAATTCAATTTGTACCAAATTTAGTACCATTTAGTACCCATGAATATAAATTACTGAAACTGGGTAAAAAAATTCCAAAACTACGTACATTCCCAATCTATACTCCGACGGTAATGTTAATTTCAAATTTCAGGATTCCAGCTCGATTTGTATCTCCAAATTAAATTTGTACCAAATATAGTATCATATAGTACTTTTCGTACACATGAGTACACGCTTTCAAAACCATCTCCTTAAATGGGCTCTACATCTCATCCCTAATTCGCATTCCAAATTTCAAGTTTTTAGCTCTATCAATTCGCCAAATACAAATGGTATCACATTTAGTACTTTTTAGTACTTTTCGTACCGTTCTAGTACGAATTTCCAAAAACGCTTTTGTACATCTTCCTAACTTTACATCAGTGACCCACATTCCAAATTTCAGAATTCTAGCTCTTCTCGTTCGCCTAATACAAAGGGTACCATATTTGGTACATTTTAGTACTTTTCGTACCCTTCTAGTTCGAATTTCCAAAAACCCAGCCTTATCTCACGCCTACACACCAACACCAACCCACACTCAAAATTTCAAGCTTCTAGCTTTAGCCGTTTCGTCTGGGCGATGATCTGTCAGTCAGTCACTCACTCACTCACTCACTTAACACTAAGCTCTTTTATATATATAGATAAAGCTATAAACTTTGTGGTGCAGGTACCATAAGGAGCTGTTCGACGGTCCCGAATTTGAATTTGATCTAGGCTTAATAAAGGTAAATCAAGATTTGTTCTAATCGGACATTCCGTTCGCCTAATATTTGATTTATAAGCATTGAAAATTATGGCTATTTGGGGAGGAGGTACCAGAAGGAGTGAACCAATGGATCCCATCTTCGGACTTGATCTAGGCTTAGTAACGATAATAGGTTGTACAAAGTTTGGTGCAAATTGAATTGTCCGTTCGTATGATATTTTAAAATTAATTTTCAGCAAAATTTTAATCATTTTGTGTGGAAGGTACTAGAAAATGGAACCGATATTCCCCATCTTCGAAGTTAAACTAAGTTTGGAAGAAATATTATGATGTGCAAACTTTGAAATCGGGACGGACATTCGTAAATCGGCTCCAAGTTGTCTGAAAAGGATTTTGTCCAAGAAACATGGGCTCTAAAACATATATTTCGATGAGGGGCATTTTTGCCGTATCGAAGTCTTTACACCCTCATTAGACATAAGGCTGAGGGTATAATTCTATCTTACCTTTAAGTAATCACGACAGCTACACTCATCCTCATCGGTGCCATCTTCGCAGTCCTCAAAACGATCACATCTATTTGCCATTTCAATTATTTGCGGTATTCTGAAAATAGATAAATTTGATAAAAACCCAATACAAATTAGGCTACATGAAATCGGACTTATTTATATATAGAACGATTTAAACTAGACAAGTTAAAACGTCGTTATTCGTTCGAGTCTAACTTTTTATACTACGAGCTGTGAATTCAAAATGCTATTATGTGTTTTAGAAAAGATAAATTTAATAATCACTCCACCTTGTAGTGGAGGATATAAAAATATTAAATTTTTATGACCACTACTTACTTTCGACAAACAAATTTCCTTGTTACATTTGAAGGCGGAACGGGCGAAGAAGATACTGTCGTATTTACAGCCGCTATCTTTGAAGGTGCATCCGTACTTATCGAAGTCATTTTTGATTCGGCCACAGAGAATGTCATATCGGTGAGCATTGTTGATTCCAATTTGTCTGGAGCATCAGTTGTGGCATCGTCTACAGAATCTATTTTCATACCCAGTGTTGTTAATTTATCCATTACTTCTTCACTCGTACTACCGTCCAGCGGAATCGTGCTTCCATGCGTTATAGATCTAGTAAATAGTGTTGTTGGAATACTCTCCGTTGGTGTTTCCATTTTTATTGTAGGTGTTGCAGCTGTTTGAGTCTTTTCACTAGCATCCAATATTTTGACCCCCGTTGTGGTTTCTGTCTGCTCGGAATTTGTCGTTGTCTCAAATGTAGTCGTCACAATATCATCAGTGGTTGTTATGTCGGTGATAACTTCAATGGTTGTGGTGCTAGCATCCGTTGTGGAAATTTCAGTATTTGTTGTAGATGTTGTAAAAGTCAAGGGCGCCGTACTTGTTGTCCCTATTTCCAAATCATCCTCGATTTCGAAAGCTCTTATTTTATTAATTGGCGTCGTCACCACCACCGGATGATAGTCACTTTCTGTGGTATTCTCCCGCATTCCACCCATGTCTGGTATAAAATTGTAAATACACCCCACTTCATCTTCGCCACCCAAACAATCGACAATGCGATCACATCGCTTACGCTGCGGTATACAACGTTTGCCACCCCATACGCACACATATCCAGGACATAACTTGTGTGGTTGAATTTTCGGCAAAAATTCCGGACGCATTGCCATCGTAATCCAATCTAAATAGAGGGCAACCCGAGTGTAGACACCAAACTCTTTGGGTCTGGCACAACCATTTCCGTGACTAACCACACCGGCTAAATACCATTCTTCGGGAGATGTGACACTACGACAAAACAACGGTCCACCAGAATCACCCTGACATGCGTCACGACCACCTTCTTCATCGCCAGCACAAATATCTTCTGCTTCTTGATCTTCTTTGTCGATGCAGCCCTTGCGTATGGGAATTGTCACCTGGCGCAGTGAGTCACCTAAAGAAATGACAATTTTACTAAATAGCCGAGAAGTCCACCATAAGAATACTCACTTCCCGGGCCCTTTTCTCGGACAGCTCCCCAACCAACTGCGGTGCATAGGGTATTTTCACGCGGACCCCATATCCAATCCTCTCCACCTGTGGTTCTCTGAATATCTGGCAGACAAATGGGCTTAACCCAACGATTGAACTGCAGCGGTTTAACCATTCGCAGCAAGGATAAATCGTTTCGCATGCTGCGACGTTCATAGGCCTGGTGTACAATAATGTGCGACACCGGTTGTATTTGTGTGGCCATGGAGAAACTTGTTCGCCTCAGTAGTCCTGCACGAACCTCATAATAGTATTTGTGATAATTTATTACACAATGGGCCGCACTGATTATCTGCAAATACCCAAAAATAGCGGCAATTAAGAAAATGTCGACTTTGAGAGCAGGGCAGAAAGCACTTACCCAATATTCCGAATGAATCGTACCGCCACAATGGAAATTCCCGTTTCTATATAAGGCCACAACAAACGGCCATTCCATGGGCTTACTGTGTACACCACCCACTATGCGTTCATTGTCATTTTCCAGTTCACGTTTTGTTTGATTATTGCTCACGGACGTTTGCAGCTTAGCCAGACGTTTGGAATATCTGGACTTCACGACCGAAGGATCCTGCCGTAATATTCCACATTGTGGTGGCATACATTTAACATAGGCTATATGATCCACCAGTTCATCATGACTATTTCGTTTGTGACATGACTGTGGAAAGTGGGCACTTCCAATACGAGCAGGTTCAATAAATGGACCCGTTAGCGATAGCGGTTTGAAAGATAACTTTGGTATACCGCTGAGACCACCTTCGTTTTTACACGCTTCCAAAGCCCATGTTTCGCCATTATTACATACCGGATACCATTCTCCTCGATGATTGCGATACAAATAACCCTCGGAAGATGATGCTGAATGTGACTGCAAATCAAAAAAAAAAAAAAACAAAAACAGATATTTTTGGAATGCGACCAATAAGGAAAGGACGGAATTAAATATGGATCCTATATCTCTCGACGCAAATTGGGTCTCAGATACGCATGTCGATTTACGCATGTCGATTTACGCATGCCTTTTTGTCTATTCATGTATTCTTATAATTAAAATAAATTTGCGGGGGTAATTTATTTGGCCCAAGGATGAATCCTATTAAAATTTCAGATTTAGATAAAGCTGTCATAATATTATAACTTAATTTGAGGCATGCAACACACAAATTCTATTCAATTGACCCTGCATCGGAATGTAGGTTGATCTGATATATTATGGCGATCCGTTCATCGTTCCGGTCCATTAGCCTCTTGAGCTTCATTATTTAAGGCCATTACTTACCATATGATGAGTGACATCATTAACAATAATGCTGCAATCCGTTTCATCGCGACCATTTAAACAATTCCTAAATCCATCACATTTCTCCAACAGGCTATAGCACATCGATACCATGGAACGATTATTCATTTCGAATTCACGTGGACTATCGTAACAGGAATACATAAATTCATCACAACCGAAACAACCACGCTCATCTTCCCCCATAGGACAATCGGGATAACCGTCACAGATGCGATCATCCGATAACCGCTGACGACAAGTACAGGCCGCCTCATCACTGCCGTCACTACACTGCACCATGCCATTACACCATTCACTCTCCATGATGCATTCGTTGCCTCCGTAACAGGCAATCTGTCCCGATGTGACACATTTGAAGTGATCTTCATGGCCCAAATGATCGGGCAGATCTGCATAGGAGGCATAGATGATATCCGAGGACAAACTGCTATTGGCCGGATCTGTGCGCATTTTGAAATTGGCATTTGAGAAGCCCATACCGCTGACAGTATTGGCGGGGCCACTGACACCACCAACAACGCCACCCTGGCTACCAGCATTGCCGTGATTATTGACATAAGTACAAAATAGTTGTTTTTGTTGGTGACTTTGTTGTTGCTGCTGTTGTTTCTGGGGTGAGGCATTTTTCGAGAAAATATTTGGAATATTGCCTTGTGCCCTGAATTTAAAGCAACATCAATAACTGATTTTTATTTTAAATATATTTTTATACTAATCATACCCTCCTGCTGTTCCCGCCGAATGCCCAAAGAAATTACCAGTTGTTCCAAAATTTTGTGGTACAAAGAATATACCACCAGGTCCACCAGCGCCGCCACCACCCACGGTACCACCACCGCTGGAGCCGGCAAAACCACCCGCCATACCAAAAAATGAGGGCGTCCATAGTGGCACCTGATTCACCATCCGCACATTGGCCGGTGATACATAGAAACAAATGGGTATTGAGGGCATGCCATAATTCGGATTAAACATAAACTGGGCGGATGCCTTCATAGTTTCACCGGTAACGGGAAAACCACCAACCGGTCCACGACTTGTAAATTGTACCGATGCCGGTGTATATGATTCGGGTTCCGTCTCGGGTTTTGGTTGCTGTTGTTGTTGCTGCTGCTGTTGTTGTTGTTGTTGTTGTCCACTAGCTGAGGCACTTTTGTCACGCATTCTCTTTGCCATTCGCTCGCACAAACTCATAAATTGATTATCAGCTACAATGTAGAAGAAGAAAATTAGAAAAAACCAACTGGAAATTAATTTACAACGGTGCAGAACTCAGTCGCTATTAATGAATATGTATTAATGATACAGACCGAAGTCCAAATTCCGTCGCATGAGTTTGGTCCTTAAAGTTGAGGTTAATCTATTGTTAAAATCGTTTCTCTTTCAAGAACCTAAAATACCAAATTACAGTCACTCCGATTGTAGAGGCTAAGACCTCAAACATTGAAGAGACTAAGTCCTAAGCCTAAAATCGGTAAAATATGGACAATAGCCTATTAAATAAGGTCTACCGGGTGGCCAAAACTGAAAAATTCTGTCAAAAATACAGAAAATGGAGTAGAACCTTAATATGGGGGCTATAACAGAACCTGAACGTACATTTTTTGTATCGATCTGAATTCTTTGGACTCCATTAAAACATAGACGAATTTACTTACTGATGTTTGGAGAATTCGCCGAGGAACTACATTGACCTATATTGAAAACGTTGGCCACTTCTGTTCTAAAATGATGGCTTAAGACTTTTAAAATACCGAAAAATGCGGCAGGTCAATATTTACACCTAAATTGAATATGCTGTGAATATTTTCTGAATCTGTTGTCTTAAACTGACGTCTATATATTCGGTATACTTGTTCAGTGACTTATGCTAAAATTTTATGCAGAACATTTTTGTCCTTTATAACATTCCTCTGATGTCCTATTAGAAGAATGCTATAAAGGTGAGAAAAATTGCTACAAACTCGGAATAAAATCGGTTTTAAACCTAACATGAGTTTTCATATTTTTAAAATTTTTGACGTCTAGACAGATTTTCGAGTTTTCGTTTATTCTTAGACCCATCTTTAAACTTTATGGCGAACATTACTGACCTGCTATAAACCACGTTTTAAATTAGTTTTCAATCATCTTTGGAAAAAGGGACCGAAAAGACCCATTGAGAGAGTTGACAGAGGGTTAACATATTAGACAAAAATATTCCTCACATTTATATCAGTAAATGTAAACGTAATGGCGACACACGTGTCTTTTATTTTTATACCTTTCATCATATATATATATATAATTTTTTTTTAATTTCCCGATCATTTTTTTGTTACACAGTGTGCCCACACCTACCTGCAAAATTATTTGGATTAACGGGATTTAATTTCGGGCCAAATTTTGCCACACTTTTATAATCCATCTCTCCAAAAGTATCCAAAATATCATCACTGTTGCTCATCACTGCCGCCTGTTGGAATTTCTTTTCCCATTCCAGGTGTTCCAGGGCATCCATGCTTGTCTCGTTATACGACATCACGGTTGTTAAAACTCCCGGTGTGCCGGTCGTAGTGGCAAACGAAGACTTTGACGAAGCCAACGAATTGCGTTCCAATGTTTCCAGCATATTCTCCAAACTACTGGGATTATCCAAGGGATGTTCCTCTTCACTAAAGGCACGTTGTTGATCAGCGTTTAAAATACAAATTGTTTCCTCTCGCGATGAATCGTCCTCTTCTCCTCCTGCTCCTGTTTCTTCTTTGGTAGAATTACAAAATCTTGCTGAAGTTTGATTACTGGATTTATCGGTGAACACTGGCTTGGGTGTAGTTGTCGTGGACATCTTATTTTCACCACTGTTCACATCACTGTCTATGATCCAACTAAATTTAATCGGTTTCGGTTTAGTCGGATATGCAATTGTTGTCGTATTTGTTGGTATATCTGTGGTCGTATTAAATGCCAATTCGTTGGCATTCGTTGTACTGGCATGTGTTGTTTCGTCTGGAATTTCTTCTCCATCTATAATCCATTCAAACTGTAGCTTACGTTCTTTGTCATCGGTACTTGTTGTTGTTGTTGTGTCTGGACTTGATGTAAATTCAGAAGATGATATTGTGCTGACATCTGTTGTCGATAAATTGATACTAATGGTGGTGGGCTGTGAATCCAGCATAAGTGCCGTTGAACTATTTAAAGCCGTCTCCTCGGTGGCTGTTGTAGTTACAGAAGTGGAAGAGTGCACCCCCTCTGTGGTCACGGTTGTCATTGCAGTCGTTGTGGCCCTAGCATCTTCAAAGTGATCATCGGTTATAACAAAATTTTCCGAACTATCTTGAAAATCTAATATCCAACTAATTTTTTGAGACTTTTCTGCTCTAGATGTCGTTGTGGGAGCATCTGTTTCCGGATCAATTCGTTGTGTAGTTGTGGCTTTGGTTTCCAAATTCAGTTGACTATCTTCGGCAAGTACAATTTTACCTGACACCTGCGTTGAAGCATTCCAATCTTTCAATTCAATATCTGTGGAACTGCTAGTGATGAATGAAGTGTCCCCCCGAACAGTTGTGAATAGTGCAGGCGTTGTCGTTGGCGTTGCAAGAGTTGTTACCGATTCGGGCAATAGTGCAAATCCTTCTTCTTGGGATACCCCATCAAAACCATCCAGAATCCAACTAAATTGTACCGGTTCAATTTTCTCCATTTTGTGAGTGGTGTTTTCTTCCACGGCTGTTGTCGTTGCAGAACTTTTCGTTGTCCCCAGGACCACAGTAGTTTCTGTTGTTGAGACAACAGCCAAAGTTGATGTGGGGGCACTTTGTATGTGTTCCGTTGTCGCCTCGCCCGTCTCCTTCGATTCATGACTTTCCGACGATATTTGCATCAATTGTTCGCTGTCCTTGAAAATCGCCTTCATTTTTTCCATCTTCTCGTTTATCTCCTTGGCCAAGTTATACATTTTCATAAAGGCCACCATGCATTCATTGCTAGCCACCGATTCTTTTTTGCAGCGCTTGTACTCCGTCTCCAGTTTGCTGATCGCAAGTTTGGTGCGTTTATCCCGTACCTTCGCATAGAGACTTTTCAGGTCAAGTGATTCCTGCTGAACCTTGATGGGATCTAAGCTATAGAGTTCAGGAGGAAGTTGCATATTATCAATGTTTACATTAGCCACATAATCATCATTTGACAAATCCACATCAATGTCATTCAGATCCGCTGGAAATGCCATGGAATTATCATCTTCATCATTGCCGTAATCATTATCGCGTTTATGTCGTCGAAAATGTAAACGTTTGTGCTGAATGTGCAATTTTGAATATTTAGCCGAACCAAGCAACTGTACATTTTCCAAGGGTTCGAAATTCCGATATGGCACCATTTTACCGTTAACGTCCTCCATAAGATTTTCCGATTTTAAATTTAAGCCGATACTGGAAGGGGTTTTTCTTTCTTCATGTTTCACATTTAATGCCACTATTTCTTTCAGTTTATCTACGCAGGGGAAAAATAAAGATAATGTTTTAGATTAATTTCATAGTTTTGAATCAATATTACATACCCATTCTTTCCAATACAATGCCATGATATATAATCGAGGTTAGCAAAATCAACAGAACAATAACAGATAATGCAAATATTTTGGTCATTATTAAGCGATTCCATTTTCGATGCGCCCTTGGTTTTGATGTCTCTAAGTCTTGATTGACAAAAAAAAAATGGAAATATAAAAATTTAAGATTTACTTTAAAAAATCAGTCACTATAAACATAGACAAAGCTAAATATGAATGAATTTTTAAAAAAGGATCATCATCCTGTTGAAAATTACTTATTTTGCTGTGCTCTTATTTACTAAATCGGATATATGAGTCTGCCAAATAGCGTTCTTACTAAATTGTTTAATACATTTTTTGCAGCAATTTAGGGTCCCACCCATCAGCAATTTAGGGTCCCACCCAGACGACACTTGGAACCTAATTTCTCTATCAGGGGACTTAAACTGCAGCTGAACAACAATATTAAAACCAGTAAGGAAAGTAGTTAATTCGAATTACGCTGACTATATAATAACCTTCACCGCATTGGGTGTATGTATCCGAACATGAAATTAAACGAACTTAAATATGTGATCTTTATCTATAAGTGAACCGACTAACATCAATCCATACACGTGGCTTTCGGCAACCTATGCTAAGTTTCATTCGGGCAGATTTAGAATGATATACGCTATTCGGTATGAAGCACTGTTCAAAATTTAATCCCAATCAGACATTCGTTCGAAATATATAGGGAAACTATGTCGGCACCAATTTCAACAAAACTTAATTCATTCTAGTCTCAATTTGATACGTTGTTAAAAAATTCGTGTCAATCGGACAAACACTAGGAGTTTGGTGCCCCATTTACCTAAAATCGGACGAAAATATACATGTGAGAGCTATATTTAAATCTGAACCGATTTCAATGACACTTACAAGAGATTAAAGTATATTAATTTCAGTACATTGAACAAACTTGTGTGTCAATCGGGCTAACTTTAGGTCTTTAGTGCACAATTTGCATTAAATCGGATGAAAATATGTATGGGAGCTATATCTAAGTATGAACCGATATTCACGAAACTTAACACACGTCATTCTAGACTTAATTCAATACGCTTTGCCAAATTTCTTGCAAATCGAAAGATATATAGAGATTTTGGTATACAATTTACATTAAATCGGCCGAAGATATATGTATGTGGCACCTGTATCTAAATCTGAACCGATTTTCACGAAAACTTAACACATATCATTGTAGACTCAATTCAGTGCGCTATACTAAATTTCGTGCCAATCTAAAGATATGTAGGGACTTTGGTGCAACATTTATATACAATCGGACAAAAGTATATATAAAAGCTATATTAAAATCTTAACCGATTTTCCCGAAACTTAATACACAACATTCTAGACTTAATTCAGTGCGCTATACCAAATTTCGTGCAAATCGAGTTATATATAGGGACTTTGGTGCAATATTTATATAATATCTGACGAACGTATATATGGGAGCTTTATTTAAATCTGACCCGATTTTCACGGAACTTAATACACATCATTCTAGACTTAATTAAGTACGCTATGCCAAATTTCGTGCAAATCGAAAGATATATACAGACTTTGGTAAATAGGACGAATATATATATATATATATATATATATGAGAGCTGTATCTATATCTAAATTCCTTTTGCCTGTTACAAACATATGCACCTGTACCACAGTGTGGTGAAGGACATAAAAACATCTGTAACAATTTCTGCAAAGTGTTACTATATGGACTGATTGTTACTCTACCAATCGGCTCTTTATAACTGACAACAAATTTTCACTCAGGTTATTGTGCTGGCTACTACAATTTTGCATCTTCACCCTTCTGCTGAAAATTACTTATTTTGCAGGATAGATACTCATATCTACTAAATCGGGAAAATCAAGTATATAACTTAGAAAGAAAACTACGAAATTATATAATTAATTGTTGACTGCAGTTTTAAGTCCCACCAAATAGCATCGGAAGAAAAATTGAGCGTTGTCACAAAAAAGGGAAAGAATCTGGATATAGTGAACATTCTGAGTCGTAAATAATAAGCGAATCTCACAGTTCTTCACCACGGGAATATAAGCCAACCATTTCATACCGACGTGAGAGTATAACGGGGCTACCCTCTGTCACCCCTACTGATCACAATTTTACTGAAAAATATGCTTAGCATGGTGTGTCCCACGACAACTCGAAGTCTCAGATCATGATATCTGTCTCACAAAATTAAAAGACCTGGAGAGGTTTACTCGCAATCTTGGACTTGAGTTTAATATGAGAAAACGATGCACATAAAAAATAACAACACCAGCAGAAAACATCATGCTACAACCAACCAATAGGTGGTGGCGCAGAAACGGACGGAATCAGTAGTGAGAGGAACATTCGTACGACTCCGAGGTGTATGGAGAAGCTCACATATATCCAGGAAAAGCTAGCTTAAAACATTGGAAGCATGTATAAAATCGATTCTGCTAATCGGAAGTGCCACCTGACTTGTGTCTAACACCATCACGGTATTCATAAACAGATGCTTGCTCTGGCCCAACACTATAAGAAGATTTTAAGTAGGAAATAGAGATGAATTGGAAACATTAAGATAATATATCCACAACGTAACCAGAATGATGCTTAAATGGGATCCCCCAGGATCATAAAATCGAGGTCCACCAAGAAACGCAACATGGCGATGCACTGTGGAACCCCTATGCTTCCAAAAGGAGTTACAGAAAAACTCACACCAAGACGTGCTTTCTCGCTGTCCATTTATTGATCTTTGAGAAATATTTGCACTTTTTGTCATTGCAGTTTTTTTTCTTTTTTGTGTTAAAAACATTTTATTTCTCTAATCGCCAAACATGCGTCCGCATTACTTACCTCTAAATTGGGGCTTGAAAACAACGGAACACAGTTAGGTTCCGGATTCTTACCTCGGCGTTTGTATGAAAAATTTTGTATTATTCGAATCGAACATTGGGTTTTTGATATCAGATCAGATGAAAATATATATTACATTAGATTTCAAAAAATATTACCATGCTTCATTCTGGACACAATTCGGTCCCATATGCAAAATTTTCGACATAAACTGGCAAACATGGGTTGTTGTTGCACTACTTGCATAAACTCGAATCAAAATATATATGAAAGCTATATCTAACTCTGAACCCAATTCACCAAAACTTCACACATGTCAATCTGTACTGATTTAGCGGCGCGGTAGTCAATAAAACAAACTATAAATTGACTTTTAATGACTCAAATTTCGATTTCACTTATATTTTATTGCCAATATTTATTGAGTTATTCCTTTTGAATGCAATGGATTTGAAGAAAATTGTTGACAAATTACTTGCATCGCATTTTGTATTATTTTTATGTAAATTGTTAAAGAAATGAACCGATCTAGTCCATATTCTGTCCACTAATGTCCAAAGGCAAAGGCTTAATAAGTGCGACTTGTACCTTGCATTGCATTAATTCTATAAATATCCCAAAAAAGTATCCAAATATATGCACACAGACATAATACCCTATACTACAGTGAGGGCATAGAAATAAATATTGACCTCCTTAATTTCAAATTTGAATTTAATCTTGTATTCTGAAAATACAAGAAAGTTTTAGGAGATCGACACTCTTTTCGGTACATATGAGATTTGTGTGTATAAGTGTTTTTATGTTTTTTTTTTAATTTTAACCTAGTTTTGATACCATACACGCATCTATTTTGATTTCGTAATTAACAATTTATGTTTAGAAAATGAAGTGGACAAAAAACTTCTAGTCGTTCTAGAGTCAACAACTATGACCCGAACCCTAGGAACCGCTCACAGTATAATTTCATTTAGTTTGGGTGTACCGTTATGTCCAAAGTTTACCACAAATCGAAACTCATTCTGATCATAAAAATTACGCCAATAAAGTCCATCTGGCTGAATATAACAAAACACCGCACCGATACAAAACACTAAAAATATTTTGTCCTTTCGGACCACAACCAAAATTATTATGAACCACATAATTGTACCATAAAGAAGTAGACCAATAGGAACAATAGAAATCGCATACAAGTTTTCATATTTCTCCGAAAGGAATTCGAGATAACACACAATAAAAAACGTTCGACTCTTGTTTTTTTTTATTTAGTGCAAAAACATTCGATTAGGTTATTCTGGATTGCAAAATATTTACTTTTAATATAATTGCAATAAAACTTTTTTATTTTTCTCTTAGTTTATTTATAAACTTAAATATTTTTTATTCCAATCTGATTAATAAATTTCACTTATTTTTTACTATATGTTAAATATATCACATTTTTTTTAATTCTTAAATTTTTTTAATTTAAGTATTTTATTATTTTAAACACCAAAATATAAAAACAATATTTAAAAATTGTTAAATATATTTTTGTATAATTTATGTTGCTATATTAAATCCATTTTTTAAGTAATTCTTAATATATCTTTTAAAATATTTTTTTACTTTCTTTATATATTTAATTTAATCAATTAATTTTTTTAATATTATTTGAATTATATTCTTTCAATACACTTATATATTTACCATCACTTAATATTTTGAGCTTAATAGTCATATTATAAATTTTTATTATCCTTTTTGTTACAGCACTTTTTACTTTGAATTTAGAATTACACTATCTTTAAGTATTTTAAAATAATTTCATTATTATTCCCTTTGTGGTATCCTCTTTCTTATTTCTTTATAATGTGTTATTTTTAATGTCAGGATCAAATTTCACTTTCAACACATGGTCGGTCGCAGAACACTTCAACATGTATAATCCAAAGGTAATCCACTGTCTGCCAGGCTGGCTGGGTTAATCCAAATCTACTTTAAATAATTATTGTTGCTTCTTAAAAAAAAAAAAAAACGACGACGATTTCAAGAAATCCGAAGACGATACTTCCGTTCGCGTAACACCACGTAACAAAACTGAACCTGTTGATGGACAATGCCTCCACTTATGAAGCATTTCAAAAGTGGGACGTTGCTGCATTTAATACCTCCCTCATTTCCCGCTTCCGGCATTTCACTTGCAATGACCAGCCAGCTAGCCATAAGGGAATGAACGACCTAAATAATACGTTAAAGAAATGCTGTGTCCACTAGTTTTGTTATTTTTTTCTTCATTTTCCATAAGCCATCAGCTTTTTTAAAACGATATTAATGAAAATCGACAAAAGGTAAATAGACTCAAACAATGCTGCAATTTTTGCTTAGATCAACATTGAAAAAATTAACTCTAAATTGCAAATAAAAAAGTTTTGCAATTTGGTTATCGAGGAAAATTTCAAGACTAAGGTAATGCTTTTCAAAAAACGAGTGTCCAGTGCTGCTGCTGTTGAAAGCAAAATCGGAAAAAAGCAATAAAACCAAAAACGCAATCGAGCAAATTTTAATGAATATTGCCAGCCAATGATTGTTTTGCATATTTTCAATTATTAATGAACTAAATTTTCATAATTGTGCGTATTTGTTTTTATGAAGTTCAGTGAACTTTCAATAATTTCCTCTTAGCTAATATCCTAAGTAGATCCGAATTATGTGGCTGGATTTTATTTTGGTTCAAAATTGGAAATAATTTTTAATAAGTGCTCTAAATACCGATTAATTTATAAAAAATGAGTATAGAGTGGTTTTACATAATAGAATACATGGTTTTTATCTGAAATTTAACCTCTGAAATGCGTAATTTAGCCAAGCCGAGGATCGGATAACATATTTCCAAAGTGAGCGCCATGTTTTATAATTGTAATGTTTTAATAAATAAAATCATTTTATATAACTTTTTCAATGCAACACTGATGGAAACGCCTCATAATAATATATTAATGCAAATAGCACCGATTAAATATATAATTTTTGTTTAACTAAAATGCGACATGCCGATTATTGGAACATGACATGCCGACAGTTGGAAGCATGTGCCGATTATTGGCAAAAAAAAAACACTCTTTTAACTGTCAATTTACTAAGCTTTAATACAAATTATTTAATAAAATTTGTATTGCATCGGGGAGTAAACAAAATTAGGAAGTGCCGACTATTGATACACTTACCCTATATAGGCAACTCAAATCACAAATCCTAAACTTTTCCATGTTACATTCTCCCTAAATGAAAACTCTATTAAATCCATGATAAATCAGTCTAGCTTCAAACCTATAACATGATTTACTGCTATTTAAAAAAAAATATATATGTTTTTTAATCAATAATAAAGTTTAAATTATACAATTGATTCTGTGTATTTCATATTTTATTTCTTAAATGAAGAATAAAGTAATTCATAGGTAAGTAAAAAATGTAATCCACATGTACGTAAATAAAGTATTTTACAATACTAAAATAAAGTAATTCAATAGTAATATATAAGTATGGACTTTTATAAAGGGTTTACTATTTCTGAAGTTCTCAGAACATTTTTTCATATTTACACTCACTTCTTATAATCAATTCAAAACTAACATTTCATTTATATACTTTTACAAAAAGTATTTACAAATATCTTTACAATATCTCAAAGTATACATAATACACATTTTAAAAAACATATAAACAAGTTAAATGAAAAAATTAAATAGCCAAATCCATTGATTTCTTTGGATTGTATTGCTCGTATAGATCTTGCATTAGATCACGAAACAAGGTTGGATTTACGTTACGGCTAACTTTGAAAAGAACAAACCAATCGCCAAACGACAAGTCGCTTATGACATTTCTAATGCATGAAAGTGGCATAAATCGAGCTCGAGAATACAGCAAATGCATACGAAATGCAGGATTGTATATCATCACAAAACGATAAATCAAATTTACTCCGGCCATTATACATATAAACATGAACCAACACCAGAGAAATGCAAATATCTTCTCGTTCAATATGTTCAGTGGCAAAATGCATAAAACGTCCCATGTGTTCATGGATCCAGATGGACCATATGTTCCCAAATGACATTTGGCTATTTTGGGAAATACTTGAGATGTCATGGCATTCCAACGGTTCCAATCGTAGTATGGTATGGCAGCCAGAGCCTCAATATATTTACTCCAAAAGCCATTTAGAAATGTGTCCAAAGCAATCATATTAACTACACTGATGACAAAATTCAAAGATTCACAAAATATATAACGAGCCACATAGCAGAAATGAACATCCTTGTAATCGGCTGAGAAGTATCGAACCAACATTTTCTTTTTGTTCGCATAGACGTCTTCGGGCAGAATTGCATTTCCTAGTAATCAGAAGCATATATTTTATTTGAAATTAATCAACAAATAGGCATTCGATTTACCAATTTCCGAACATAACTCCTTTAATCGCTCTCCTTCCCAAACCTTCCATAGAAATGACGGAAAATAGAATATTAATGATTGCAGCAATAATACCATAATCACCCATTGATAATAGCGAAGATAGACACGATCTGTTTTATCGCTCTCCTCACCAACTCCTTGAAATAAAAACATTAATTAAAACGTGAACATTTTAAAGTAGAATTGATATATGTCGTTTATTGTCTTAAATTTACTTCAGGGGTAACTCTCATAATATTTTGGTAAAGTTTATGGGTCGGCGACAACGACATTAATTTGTTTAGGGAAATTTCAATATCAAATTATTGTGAATAACGCTTGAAAAAGATCAACCGAATATGGAACCAAAATCTGAAGTTCCAAATAAAAAACTAAAACTGTTGTAAATTTGTCTCCATACCACGATATAATAGAAATGTATTAAGAACTAAAAGTAAGGGATTTCACAAATTTTGTCAAATAAAATAATTGATATACTACGTTCTCATCATAGTTCTCATATACCTTCTGCAATTCGAACCGCAATTTCCTTCTTCGAGTCATTGGCATATTTCGAATAATATGCCAGTAGCGTTTGCCTATAGTTCATGTCATTATACTCCAGTATAAATGTTCCCATTGTCCAGCAGTAGGAATTCACATAGCCCATGTCTTTCGCATCGCTTATGCACATTATGGGATCACCGAAATACTGTTTGGCCGACAAAAGAAATGTACAGGTCAACAGTATAACCACCGTGCACTTGGAATGGAGTGTGAAGATCACATCATAAATCCGAACAGACTTAAATTGTAAATACTTTGACAGGGGCTTAACGACATCGTACATTGTGGCCTTCGGATGGATTTGATTGACAAATCTTCAAATAAAAAATCTGCGAATATCGTCCGTACGGTGAATAATTTGCGACAGTAATGGAATTCCAACGTGTTGTCGCTGACTCTGTTTTGTTCGCCTTCGATCAAAATTTAATTTATAACGGTATTATTTTCATTTTGTTTTTATTTATCATTCCGATGTGTATCCTTCAACTTGGACGCATTAAGATCGGAGTTGATGTGCGTTACGCGTTGGAGTTAAATATATTTTAAATTTTTGCGTGCGTTAACGCGATAACAAAAAAAAACGCTCAACGCGGCCATTCTGCTTAGCCCTTTATTAATACAACATTACAACAAGTTTTTGAATAAAAATCAAAGTAATTTTTTTGTCATTAGAAGGACAAAAGACCGAAAATGTTTCAGTATTTATATGTAGAAATTATGACATGACAAAAAAAACGAAATACCAAACTATAGACACTCAAGTTGGAAACAAGTTAGAAACATGCACGTCTGTAGAAAGAGTTCTGTGATTAAGTTATTTACCAACCATTATCTTCGTAATCGTTGGAAAATGTGCCTAGAATCTTCAAAATACCTATATGAGATATATACCCATAGCTAAAACAATATTTATCAGTTATGTTCTGGAACACACGGTGAGTTTTTTACACTTCACGCATACATTTCCCATACAGTTCTGCTTCTCACGTGAATCGAAATTTTCGAACTACTGCACAACAAAAACAAAAATAAACGTCAACATGGTACTTTGCAGAAATAGTGTTGCCATACAATGTAAGTTGTATTCGTTTTTAACATTGTTTCGTTAATTCTAACGATAATTACATTATAATTTTTTTAATACTTTATTATTCACATAAGTTATATGCATGAAAGACTCTGTAATATAAATAATTTGTTTATTGATTTAAGAGGAACATTTGGGAATTTTTTGTACGATCTTTTTTCAAATCAGCTGTTTGACTCAAGCGAGAGATTCATTCGGAAAAATGCAACAAAAACCTTATTATCTATTTGAAATTGTTTCTTAATGGCGTTTCATCTTATTTTTGTGATTTTAAATAAATTATACGCAATAATAACATATTAATTTATCATCATGTGCATTTTTTATTTTATGAATAATATTCTGTTACCGGTTGAAATTGGTGTTTGAAAACGTCAAAATACCGGATAATGGGGGTACCGTTATTGGGGGATTCCCGAAATTTTGGAGGTATTGTTATTTGGGTGTTACCCTATAAAGTGGAATTGCTACCATGGTTACTGTTTTTAGATTCAAATCACAATTTGCGTACTTTTTTGAGGCATGTGACTCTATGTCCAACTTTTTAAACGTTGACGTTTTTTGTCCCCCTCCTCGTTACGCAAGAATTGAAGTTATGTGTAAATTCAAAGTAATATGAATGTGTATACGTCGTTCTTGGTAATGCCCAGTTCTAGGGAATTTGTATTCAAGCTCTATTTTAAGAAATATTATAAAAATGTTCTGTTCAAATTTTAAGAAAAACATTTGTATTCCATGCAAATTTTGTTGTTGATGATATATTTTTTGCCATATAAAGATAGATTTGCTTCTGTGTTGCATACCACTATAATATTGGTCATCAGCCTTATTCTGGATATTCCCTAGGGAGAAATCTCTCTAGTGAAACATTTTTCACTTTCACATTCTCGCCTTATTCTGAATGAATAGGGAGAACCAAAAAATTTGATTCAAAATAAGGGGAAAGTGAAAATTTCAGTAATGTTGTGACGCGAAAAAAATCGTTGCAAGTTCTGGTTCAGAATTAGTAATTTTCATGTAATACAAAAATGATGTAATTCAAAAGTAAATTAAAACTAATTGCTTAGCTATTTACAGTAAGGTATTTTTACGCACAGAATGAGTATCATCCCAAGCATATCGCATATTTGAAAAAATACAGTACTTCGTTTTTCAGTTTATGTACACTTCTTATAATAAATTCAAAAAGAACATTTCATTTATACTTTTGCAAAAAGTCTCTACAAATATACCATAAGTATAAAAAATAGTTATGAAGTAATTAAATCGTCAAGTCTATTGTCTTTTTTGGATTGTTTTGCTCGTATATATCTTGCATTAGATCACGAAACATGGCTGGATTTACATTACGGCTAACTTTGAAAAGAACAAACCAATCGCCAAACGACAAGTCGCTTATGACATTTCTAATGCATGAAAGTGGCATAAAACGAGCTCGAGAATACAGCAAATGCATACGAAACGCAGGATTGTATATCATCACAAATCGATAAATCAAATTTACTCCAGCCATTATACATATAAACATGAACCAACACCAGAGAAATGCAAATATCTTCTCGTTCAATATGTTCAGTGGCAAAATGCATAAAACGTCCCATGTGTTCATGGATCCAGATGGACCATATGTTCCCAAATGACATTTGGCTATTTTGGGGAATACTTGAGAGGTCATGGCATTCCAATGTTTCCAATCGTAGTATGGTATCGCAGCCAGAGCCTCAATATATTTTCTCCAAAAGCCATTCAGAAAGGTGTCCAAAGCAATCATATTAACTACACTGATGACAAAATTCAAAGATTCGCATAATATATAACGAGCCACATAGCAGAAATGAACATCTTTGTAATCGGCTGAGAAGTAACGAACCAACATTTTCTTTTTGTTCGCATAGACGTCTTCGGGTAGAATTGCATTTCCTAATAATCAGAAGTACATATATATTTAATTTAGTATTTAGCAAAAAATGATTTCAATTTACCAATTTCCGAACACAACTCCTTTAATCGTTCTCCTTCCCAAACCTTCCACAGAAACGATGGAAGATAAAATATTAATGCTTGCAGCAATAATACAATAATCACCCATTGATAGTAGCGTAGATAAACACGTTCCGTTTTATCATTTTCCTCGCCAACACCTTGGAGTAAAAACATTTACTATTATAAAATAAGAAATGCATAAACAAAAGAATTGAAATACGCCGTCAATATAATTAGAACACTAAATGCCAAACTACCGATAGTCAGGTTGCAAAATGGTCGGGCGGACCGATAAGAAGCATTATATTGATCCTGTTATTACATGTGAAAAACCAAGGCTTGTTTGTGGAGCATTTCAAAAATAATTTCCATTTTTGACATGAACATGTCAACAGTAGATATGAAGGGCTTATAATATTTATAAGCCCATCATTTCTACGGGCTTAAGTATAGTTTAGGCCATCCTCTGCAGTTCTCAGGAGCCAAGGTAAGTTAATGGCTTTTCTGCTTAGTTCAACTATACCTTCTGCAATTCGAATCGCAATCTCCCTCTTCGAGGCATTTGTATAATTGGAAAAATGTGCCACAAGCATTTGCTTATACTGCCAATCATTATACTCTAGTATAAATGTCCCCATTGTCCAGCAATAGGTATTCACATACTCCACATGTTTCGCATCGCTTATGCACATTATGGGATCTCCGAAATACTGTTTGGCCGACAAAAGAAATGAACATGTCAACAGTATAACCACGGTGCACTTGGAATGGAGCGTGAAGATCACATCATAAATTCGAACCGACTTAAATTGCAAATACTTCGACAGGGGCTTAACGATCTCGTACATGGTCCCCTTTGGATGGATCCGAGCGAAAAAAAAATTAACTGATTCACAAATATATCTCAACACGAAAATACCGATGCGGTAAATAAGTGGCGGCCGAATTTACTTCCTAACGTATTGTCGGTGTTTCTATTTTCTTGCTTTTCAATCGAAATTGAATTTATAACGGTATTTCTTTCCATTTTGCTTATTTGCCTATTATTCCTTCAACATGGACGGAAAAGCCAACATGTGAACTTTTTTCTATTTATAACCTAGCGTTTCAACAAGTCTGAAAAATAGATAGGAAATATCAAGGCGTATTTAATAAGGTGTAAGTGACAATCATATGGTTTTAAAGTTTTTGCTTTATTGTTTGTAAAATAAATTGTCAAAACAAATTTCTTCGACGTTTCATTTCATTCAAATTTAAATTATGCTCAACAACAAAAAAATACATTTATAGAAACAGAAAATAGAAGCCACGAAAACATGTATTTTACAATATATATATATATATATAGGAGCCATTGGTGTACTTCGGTCGATTTTGAGCGGCGATTTATGGTACATTTCCACTGAGAACGGCTGATTTGGAAGCCACAAGTAAATATATATATATATATATAGGAGCCACGGGCAGAATGTGGTAAATTTTCAAAAAAAAAAGAAAAAAACAAAGATTTCAATTCCTCATAGATTATTTGTTGACAAAAAATGAAAACAAATAAATATTTGTTTTTGTTTATTTTTGACAAAAACTAATTGTCAGCATGACAACTTAATTCCAATAACAACAATGTTGTTTTTGTAAAATATTTGTTGTTGTATCTGATGCATACACCTTATTAAATACCCCTTTTACATATTTATGAAATAAACAATTTAAAGAATTTCAGTAAATATTCATGTCCATTTATATATTTATATAATATTATATAATAATATTTTTTTCAACATTTGATAACTTTTAGTATATTTTAGGGTATTTATATAATAATTTAACGTTTTGTAGATGCCTTTGTCATATCTGACTATGGTTATTTTTTCAAATCCAAATTACAACAATATATTTTATTCAAAAATTTAGATATTAGCTGGATGATTCGATGCAATGTTAGGAATTAAAAAATATTTAGTCTGTTCCCGTACTGCAAGAATCTACTCGATTTTACTATTTTCTTCGATATCATAAAGGAAATTTCGTTATCGTAGTAAAAAGTAGTAGATTCTTGCAGTACGGGAACAGGCCAATTATATAAGCCTTAAATCAATCCCCAAGTAAACAAAATAATAATTAATTTTCCAAAGCATTCCAAATATGTTTAATAAAGTTATAAGTATTGTTTATAGATCTTAATAAATTTAAATTATTATACAAAACCGTAA